GTAAAGCAGCCAATACTGCTTTATTGGATTGTTCTTGGATTACTGATGATTTCTTTGTCTTTTTTCCTTTTATTTTGTGAAATAAAAAGGGCCAGAAATGTCAGATATATCCTAGTTTATCTTGTCACCTTACTTCCATCCTTGCTTCTGTCATGATAACTATGCTTGGTCTGTGTTGCCCCCTTTAGTTTTCAATGATCTGATTGGATGATAAAACATTGTAGTTTGTGTAGCAGGCCGCTTCTAACTCACATATATGAGTGTACAAAACATTCAAACTAAGCCTTCAGACTTCAGGGACCAGTGTTTATCTTCAAATGTCTTTAAAAAATGTATAGTTTTGAAGCCTAGGAAGACAAAAACTGATGACATCATTTGTCCTGGATCTTATCTGATAACTCAATAAAGTGTGCCTTTAAATGCGCTGCATGCCGTTCTAAATATGACTACACCAACAGGTTGATAACCCTTTTGGTCATGCTTGCATATATGCATAACAGTGGGTTTTTCATCCTCCCAGGTCCCATTTGTGCATAAACAAAATATTCCACATACATGTATGCATACATTTCCCGAGCACATGTGTGAGGTATATGGCTCCATGCATGTGTACATCTACATCAAGTACAGCACTGAATCAACATTATATCAGCGGTGCGGGCACATTACATCACTCCACAGTCAGATCCATAAAGGGCTAAGAGCCAATTCATTTGGAGAAAACACCCTCTATTGATCCCTGCTGCACTCCATCACTTCCACTGTAACAGTTACCACAATCCATAGGCTAACCTGACGCCAAATCTGTGTGTGTGTTTATGTCTCCCACTGTGTGCATTAACATAATGTCAGCACAGTTGGGGGAATACTTGTCATGTTAACTCCTGAACAGTTTTTAGTTTTGTTCGAAACATATGACTTACTCCCTGCAGCCAACTGGTGTAAACGGGGTTGCTATAGCAGCCTCTAGTGGCCTCCAACCAATCCTCTGCAGACAGGTAAGCTTTTATAAAACGTGCATGCATCTAATGTTTTTTTTTCTGTCTGGGTGCAGCCAGAAGAGACATTAAGGTGATACTTTACCACCTGCAAAAAGCATTGATTTTGGGTGTGCTTTTGGGAGTGGTGTATTTTCACAGTACAACATTTTTGTACAGTGAGGTCAGGTTCTTATTCCCCTATTCCCAATGCAACATGCCGGGACTCACTGAAAACAGCCAGCAGGCAGGCACAAGCACACATACTCTTTATTTCCCAGAGAAATGCACTCGTGGAAAAGGGTATTTAGGCCAGCGTGGGACAGTAAATCTCATTAAATCCAATGATGTTAGCAGCCTTTAACAAAATAACATTTGATATACATACACTGACAAATGCAAGAGCTCCACCAACACACCAAAGAAGTTCAAATATTTTGGTTGTACCAGATATACTGTTTGGACAAGATGGAAGAGAAGAAAAGAGAGAATTCCACATGTGCAGGCCCCTCTTCTGTCGCTGGAGAATCCATCACATTAAAGCTTTAATGCTAAAATAACAGAGCATCCATCATACTGAACGCCATCCGAGAATACAGCGAGTACTCTGCAGATCCCTGGGCGGGGTACATGTCCACTGTAGCCACAGTTGGACGATATCGCTCAAGGTGGAAGGTGAGCATGTGATAAATACAATGAGCAATGAATGGGGTTTTTCATGCATATGCTGAGAGAAGCAATCTACAGGGTGAGAATAGGGAGCCATTCAGCAGACAGTTTTCCCATCACCCTCTTCTCTTTTGGCTGTCTGCAGTACTGCCTGATGTGAATTTACTGCCCTGGGGGACATTAGGTAAATGAATAGCGAGGCAAGTAAACAGTAAATGTACAGGAGAGGAGAGGAGAGGAAGGGTAAGGAGACAGGGGGAAGCAGACAAAAAGCAAGGACATTATATGACATTTGAGGGAAGAAACGGAAAAGAGGAGACGGATTCGAATAAAAGAAACAGAGAGGAAAGAGACAAGAGGAAATCCAGTTAAATGAGAGGAAAGTGGAGGGGAACCAAGGAGAGCAGAAGAAAAGAGACAAGGGGATAGGAAACTACATTTTTAAGGGAAAAGAGATGAAAGGAAACAAGAGGAAATTCAATGAAATAGAAGGAAAAAGAGGAAAGGACACACTGGGAGACACAGGGAAAGGAGAAGGAATAAGAAATAGAAGGGGAAAGGGAATACAGGAGAGCAGAGAAGCAGAGGGTTACCCTTCCATGGTAGCACCGTAGTGTCACCATAGTAACACACATGGAGAAAAACCTTCACCCATCATTCCCTCCACCTCCCTCTTTGTTTCCCCATCTCTGTCTTAAAAAAAAACGCTGCACAATCGCAGTCAAAAGACACACAATATTCCCATCTCCTGTTGTAACCCGGCCCTATCATATGGGGACCGTGTGAGCCGGGTTGCCATGGAAACTGAACACCTCACAGCGGTCCTTGGAGGGAAGACACAGAGCCTTACCTCTCCACTTTCACCTCCCAGTCAGTCACGTGACCAGCTGTGATGCTGCAGCTGAAGCAGCAGACTCAATGGTCGTCATGCACACTGGAAGAAGTTCTGTTGTGAGGCAAAATCCTCGTTTGTTTGATTGTTAAATTAAACAACATGGGTCAGAGAGGGGAAACGCTTATTGCTAGGTCATTTTTTTCAACACTGTATACTTATGAGGAATTGGTCATCAGCCAACTGTTGCAAAATCAGATAAACAAGTGGTAGCAACCTTCAGTGATAATCAAACCAAGTTGATTGTAGGGTAATAAAGAAAGAAGAGGGGGATTTTTCCAATAACAACTGTATACTTTCCTAAGTGAGAAGAAAAGTTTAACATTGGTGCTAGATTTTTGGAGCAAGAACTCTTTATCAAGTAATATCCGTCCGTCCGTTAAGTTGTAAAACCCCTATTTCTTAGAGCATATGAAAAATAATTGGTGCCACTGCAACCACCACCCTTTTCTTTTCCAATAGTACAACCTCTTTTCAAGAATAGTCTAGAAATTAGTCCGTGTAATTCAACTAAGATTTAGAAAGGTGGCCATACTGGAATCAAGGACTTGATTTGGGAAAATAGCCAAAACAAGTTGAGTTTTACTGAAAACAGGTTGAAATATTCCAAATATAGACGGAAAAAGGATATCTTAATAGTTGTCATAATACATTTGACGGTGTAGGTAGAACAGTTCAAGATGTGCCTTATCTTCCTGCATCTCTAAAAACGCTAAAACTGGGTTCAAATCCGGAAAAATGGTGCGAAAACCTTCTTCAGTATCGATGTAATGACAGTATATGTATGAGAGTGTTCCTAAGAGGGAGAAAATGTCAAACAAAAGGAAATCCTTTCTCTAGATTGAAGAAAAAAAGCCAATGCTGAGAGGACATGCTGAGCTAAAGCTGTGACTGAACGAACATAATGGGTTGGGGATTCATTGCATAGGGTCGAGGAGATATATAATGAGTGTGTGTCTGCAAAGACAGTTACACACACATTTACGCACCCATACAAGAGAGTGCGACAAGGGGAGTGTGGTAGGAATGAGCGCGGGTGTAGAGATAAGGAGCTGCGGCAATGGGGCGGGGGGGTTGCTGCTGGTGTTGTGGGAGGGTGTCGGGGCTTGGAGAGACGGGCGGCTGCAGCACTATATGTTACGGCGTCACCGCCAGCAAAATCCCATCATCACCACCAGACTTTAAAACACCACCGCTGCCTGAACGGTTCTCATACGCAACAGCAGAGGGAGAGTTACAGCACTGCAACACTCAAGTTTCAAACCTTTCCACCAATATCTAGAATCAAAGCTTTCATGATTCCAACGATGAGGTTCAAATTCAAAGATATGAGGGGGCATGAAAGTGTCTTTACTTTAGGATAATATTCTCACAAGGGGACATCATTTTTGAAAAACTGCTGAGGGTGCAGTGCATTAGGCTGATTTGGTCAGTCCTGCCTTAGGATAAGTGCTATTAAAAAAAAGCTCTCTCTTTGCTCAAGAGATGCTCATGGCGTTGGGAAAAGGGAAAAAAAATCCCCTCCAAAAATGATCACCATTTATCAGAGGATCACCTCGGGCACTGTTTCTGGTGCCCTCACATGTGTGTAAGTGCATGTGTAAGTGTGTGTCAGAGGAAACAGTGCCATTTAGTTATATACATGATTGATTATCAGCTAGAGAGGAGCATAAAGAAAGCAAATAATTGTGGTCCGGGTTTGGCTAATAACGCTGCCTCCGGGGAAACAGACAAAGAAACAGGAGTGTGCGTTCGGCTGATACCATTCAATGAACTCCAATTGGCCTTTGTTGCTCATACACATGTGCCATACGACCAACGGGATATGGCGCAGGGATGAAACCCTCGTCGAAAGCGAAAAAATACAGCATGACGTGCAAAGGCTGGAGATGAATGGTTCCCTTTTACGGGAGTACGCAAACCCACAATAATGGTGCATTACAGTTCTGCAGTTCCGAAAGCAAGGTGACCCTATGTATCAGGAGCAACTACCATTTGTTCCAGGTGGTTGCTGCAAGTGCCTTGCTCTAGGGGCAAGTCCAAAAACCCATGGTTCCACACCACCTCTATCTGGAGCAGCTGCCTGGAGACAATTTGGAGATGTTACACTGACCTTGAATCGGGACTTAGAGGGACACCAACCAGTCTTCCAGATCCCATGGTCCATGACCAGTTGTCAAGCTCTTTTTCACAGCTACGTCATTTGGTGGTGTAGGTAAAAGCGACTGAGTGCATGTAATGGATGAGTGGTATGATTGAGGCCCATTCCGATGTGGATTTCATGCAGGATGAGAATTCCAGATATATTTTTTGGCATTCATTGCAGAAGAAAGTCACCTGCGTGGGCTGAAGTGAGACATGAAAGACCGACATGTGCAGAGCTCGTCATTTAAGTCCGTTGGATCCAGGCTCAATCTCCCATTCCAAGCAAACCCCTTCCCCCCCTTTCCATGAAGTCTTACCTTGTCTCGCTTGGCCCCCCGCAGAGGGAAGAAGCAGGCGAAGAGGAACTTGCCCCAGCTGACGACGGCAGCCAGGCACCAGTTGAGGCGAGCCATGCCTGCGTCTGTCCCGTCTCGTCTGCCAGCCTCTTATCTCTCCCCTCGGTGCCGGGATAGGATCCTGCAACCCCCCCCCCGGTAAAAAGAACGATGTCAAGCGAAAAAAGACCCCGCAGAGAAAGGAGACCCTCTTGTTCTACTCCGTGGAGCACAGTTGAAAAGCGTCAGAGGACAACTGGGGTTTTGTTTTTCTTTCAGGTTTTTTTTTTGGGCAATTTTGGCAACCTGTCTGGCTATGTGTCTGCAATTCCAATTTGAGGGGGGGCTGGTGTGAAGCTACTGGCGTCCCACAAATGGACTAGACCTTTGGACAGTCTAGAGGGACCCGAAGCGTCAAGAGCCTAAAACTGTCTTCCTGTCTTGCCATCCATCTGTCTTTCTTTCTTCTTTCGTCTCTTCGGTCTCCACAGCCCGGTGTAGATGAGTCAGTCCTCAAAGTGTGATGAGCACCGTCGGCTGCATAATGCGAAGAGCCCGCTGCTGATCGACGACACTGTTACACACACACGCACGCTGGCATGCCCCACACTCCCAGTCTCACACACACATTCACGCACATGTACGCTCGCCTGCAGAAGAAAAACAAAAAACGCTGTCCTGGCACATACATCCACAGGCAGAAGAGCCCCCCTCTCGTCACACGGTTCCCCTCCAGGCTCAGGATCCCCGGTGCTTGGTGCTTACACACACCGCTTACACACACTCATCTCTCTCGCTCTCTCTCTCTCTCCTGCTCTCTCACACATACACACATGCACTGATGCTGCAGCACTTACTCAGCCAGCGCGGGAGGAGGGGAGCAGAAAGAGTGAGGAAGGGGGGGGGGGGGGGGAGAAAGGACTGGGAACATAACGGTTGAAGGAAAAAGATGGAAAACAGAAGGGGTTTTTTTTTCTGCTGAGAATGACAGATTGAGTGTATTCATTGAGTGTTTGTGTTTCAGAGTTGAAGCCAGTGTCGGCGAAGGAGAAGATGTGCGTATGAGCGAAAGTGCGCATCAAGTAGTGTGTTCACCGGGAGAGGTGGAGGAGCAACAGAATGGGCTGAAAAGAGTGAATGGAGGAGTCAAGATGGATGGATGGATGACAGACATCAGGAGAGAGGGAGAATTACAAAAAGGGAAAGTCGCAGGGGGAGAGGCGGGAGGGGGGGGAATGTGTTTGAGAACACTGATGAACACACACACAGCAGCATGCGCAACATACGCACACAAGCGGACACGCAGCAGCCGTCACGGTGCAAGGCGGATACAAGGCAGGCAAGGGGTGAGATGATTGTAAAGTGTGTGGAGAATTGGGTCGAAGGGAGAGAAGGAGGGAGGAGAGAAAGGAAGGATGGAGGATGACAGAAGAGGAGAGGAGCGGGGTGTTGAATCATTGTGTCTTGGGTGATTATTTCCCCTCGCACACACACACACACACGACTGCAGGTGGTGCACAGGCTCGTTCGCTGTGCTGCAGTCTCTCTACGCTTCAGTGGGAGCACATTTTCACTGCAGAACGCTTTTCTCTGCTATCCCCCCCNGCAATCACAACACATCAAAGCAATGAGCGAGGGAGATAAAGTGTAGAGAGGATGCTGTTCTGTCAACCCCGAGCTAGCTAAGCCTGGGGGGTGGGAGAGGGAGGGTGTTGAGGGGGGGGGGACATAACGCAAAATTGTTTGGCCGTATGGAAATGCGATGGCAATAAAAAAGAAAGAAAGAATTACAAATCTTTCCATTGACAGAGAGCTGCTCCCATTAGAGTTGCTCTTCATACGTTCTGAAATCAGCATTCAGTGCACATGTCAGATATAAACACAGTGCATCATCTATCCATGTGTGCCTGTATGAGATGGAATCATGCGACAACAGTCAATGTTTCTCGAAAACAATGCATTTGCAGATATGGAGATTAATTGCATAAAGTGTCATTTATTAATATTTGTTAATAAATGGTCATCAATAGCTCCCGTGCTGCGTTGTTGTTTACATGCGTCAAGTTCTCGCGAGAATTGATATCTCTTATATACAAAATCAGCGCCAGAGTATTGCCCTCATACTATATTTTCCCCCTGAAGTTCACACACACTGTTCGGAACAGCTTTTCATGTCCCGAGTGGACTTGATTTATTTGTCCCGCAACTTAAGCGATGTCACTCCAATATTTAATTCTATCCAAACGACAATCTTTTTCTAAACTTAACCGAGTTCTTCCCTGTGATTATTGGAAGTATTTTGAAAGACTGTACGCATGTAAGAATTGGTAACTACCAAAGAGGAATCTAGACCTTTAGGACACGTCTTTGATGAAGTTATAAAAGGTATGAAATATAAAAGTAGAGGGCCAAGAGGTCATTACGTACCACAACCAATCAACAGCTGGACATTCCTGTTGGTACAGTACAATCCAAAGTCAGGATCCCATTGGAAAGAACGGCTGGGTTGTTGTATCACATCGCTTGCAACAACTGTGATGACATTGGTCAAACGGCCAGGACCCGAGGGAAAAGCCGAGCGACGGAAACAGAATCCACAGTTTGCAAACAAACACCACGACTGGTCACAGCACGTCCGCAGAAAGATCAAGGAAGATATTGGACACCAGAGACTCTCTTTCAAGGAATTCACAACCACCAGTTATCACATGACCAAAATCCTGAATGAGGTCTTATAATTACACCTTAACAAGCTCCAATCCAGTCAGAAAGCCATGGGGTAACGTCTTCAGGACTACTTAATCAAGTCAAGTGAGTGAGTCAGTTTAACCCTCCTATTGTCTTCGTTTTCCCCCCCTTACTTTGGTGTTTGTGGTCAAATTTGACCGGTCCTGTTTTAACTGCTATTACATTAACACAAAAAACATTAATCATCACCAAATTTAATTTAACACCCTTTCAAACTGTAAATATTGTATCAGACTAAAACTGCAGTAAATATACAAAGAATAGATACTGAACATGTATTGCGTGTGCCAGGTGTGATCCATGAGGGGGGATGGGCACATAAGAGCGGGAAATGTGTCAAATTGTTCTGTGTGTGTGTGTGTGTGTGTGTGTGTGTGTGTGTGTGTGTGTGTGTGTGTGTGTGTGTGTGTGTGTGTGTGTGTGTGTGTGTGTGTGTGTGTGTGTGTGTTTTATCTGATCCGGATGGTTACTAATTCCTTTTCTTTCTTTCTTTGCTCGGGAACACCATGGGTGTTACAAAGTTGACTAAATCATCCAAAATTCAATGAAAGTGGTGATCAGCAATTGTATCAATTGTCTACTGTGTAGGATATCATAAAGCCTTAATGCAATCGAATATAAAACAAAAAAGTTATGATTGATGAAAGTAGTAAATCGGTCAGATTTGACGCAAAGACAACAACAGGAGCGTTAATCTAAAATATCACCAATTTCACTCAATGGGCTTTAGAAAGGAATAAATAATCTTCAATGGTAAAAACTGAAAAATAAACGTCACAAATAACAAGAATCCTTCTCCCAGAGACTGAGATCTACGCAATTAATGTTGAAGAATAGATAAACATAAAATCAAGGGCATGCCTATATCCCATATAGAATGTTTACCACAGATGGGATCATAGAGTTAAAACAATTCCTACAATTACTAAATCCCTTTTAATGTACTCAAAAATGGTTTTCTAGCAAAGGTAAGAATATGTGAATACTGTTTAATGATTAGCAATGCATGCCGGCTGGTGTACAGAGGCTACTGTTTACTACAAAGGTTGACGGATGATGTCAGTGTGATGTTGATGCAAAATGGCAGCTCCATAGAAAGAATCCCTCGCTGTCTGAGTCTGATGGTCCGACACCATAACCTGACGTTTTTAGATATGGCTGCTAAAGGAAAAAAAAAAAATCTAAGTCACCTCACATATCCATGCTTGGGTAGGGATGAGGAAAAAGCAAATGGGCCCTAGAAATGCAAAGCAGACAGTGTGTTTTACCTTTATGTCAACATTATTAATGATATCCTGTGGATTCCTTTTACACCGAACTGCCTCCCTGTTTTATTTTACAACACATACAGTATATAGCATATGATCGTGGGAAGGTATTTCGTCAGCAAGAGGACATTTGTGTTTCGCAGTGGAACGAGGAATATGGTTTTGTCCTGCACAGTTTCCTGCAGCAGTGTGTGCTGTACATCTCAGTGTGAGACTGGGCTTGTGTCCCACTCTCTTGGCAATGCGCTGACCTTTCTCATTAGGCATAAGCAACTTGCATAATCACTGCTGACTTCTATTGACTGGCCTGTCACACTGCCTATCCGTTTGACTGGAAACCCCGTGAAAAAGTGCCGGCTGCCAAAATAACTTCTCCCTCAATGACTTTCCCCTGTCATCTGCAGCCGGATCAGAATCTATCATTTTTCACCGAGTGCACAAAAACAGGGGATTTACAACGTTAGCTGCTTATCCTCTGCAACAATTGTCTACCAATATTTATCCAATGTCAGCTCTTTTCCCTTCTGTCCAAATATATGCACTGCTTGAAATATTCACAACCTTATTCAGAGATTAAATATTGCCTGTTAATGTTGTGATGTTGTAAACATTGCTTATAATGACCCTTCTGCAAGTTCTAAAGCACTTGCACACAAGGTGATGTACATTTTTCATCACATGCAAACAAAATCTGAGTAAATCTCATTCAAGTTAATGCTTTTCACAACAATGACGGTTATCAATTTACATACTATTAAACTTCTTGTTGATTCACTGTAGGGAACAACAGATTAGTTGGCAGTTATGTAAAGATATGTTGCAATATCTCTATATGTTTATATTCTATTGTGAGTGTATACTTAACTTTTTCCGTTACTGGATATAGGTTCTTTAAATAAATGTCCACCCTGGGAATAATAAACAGCCACTACTACTATAGTAGTGTTGCCACATCAGCAGGGCAGAATGGAAAACATTTAATGAGCTAATGGTGTCCCAACTGTATTTAAAGGGGTGGTTTGTCATTTTGGGAAATACGCTTATTGGCTTCCTTGCATAGAGTGATATAATATGATAGATACCACTTTAACACCTCTTTTAAAGCCTAATATGTACACATTTTGGCATTGATTTTTAACGTGAAACTGCTTAATTCAATGTTTTTTTCCCTCTGTGGATGAATCGGCTACTTTTAAAATTATGAACAATGCAGGGATTCCTACCAGGCAGCAATGCTGTTGAGAGATGTTACGACCCCTTCCACTCCACTAGGGGTCTCTGCCTTTGTGTTCTGCTTGTTTCTGCACATTTTCACACTCCCATCCACGCAATCATTACTGACGACTGACTTCCACATTTGCTTAGGTTTCTTTGAAGTCCTTTGGTTTTTGTTATAGTAAATAAATACGCTTGTTGTTACACTTAACTTGTCTGGTCTCCCATCTTTGTTGCAGCCAATGAGCCAGGCCGTAACAAATGGAGACTCGTCAGGGATCTTTGACATTGTTTCTAATTCTGTAGTGCAGCCATCTTTGTCTGCTTGTTAGTGGATTGAAGTGCTGAGACTGATTAAAGGAATCAGATCAGCTGTAACTTGATAGGCAGGTGCACCTCGTTGTGCGCATGCTGGTTGTTTGGGAGACATGGACAAGTGTGGTGAGTAGATTTTTGTTTTTGTTGGATAATGTAAGCAGTTGTAATGAAATGCTGATGGGTGGTGATTTTGTTTTTCGTCGCTAAGCTCGTTATATTGGTGATTTTTGTAGCCGATTTTTGGTGGTCCTGTGAGTGTCTCTCGCTTCTGTCCCTGTAGG